GGCAACTCGAATCTGTAAGCATGATCAGACCATCCTACAATCGGTCCAACCGAAAACCTGATGGTAGAATCAAAGGGCCTTGACGAGAGATCACTACGTGCCCAAACAGCAATCCATCTATTCCGTTGACAGCTGGCCATGGTAGCAAGATTCAATGTTTGGTCCCAAATCTTGCGAAAGCCCAAAAGCCTGAGGAGGTTTTCCAGGATTGGAAAATGCTTGTGAACCATGATCTCATCGGCACATTCGAACAGCAAAAGAACCGGCTGTGCACATGTCGCGGTGATTAGGCTATCAATGAAGGCCCACCCTTGATCAGAAGCGAGCCCTTGTGACTTACCCCCTTTCGACCAGACAGGACAGGGAGGCGAACAAGTGCAAATCAGGTTAGCCTGAGACATGAGCATGTTGAGGGACGTGCGATCGGAAACATCGGCAATCACTCCAGTCATCAAAGCAGCAGTCCACACCTCTTGAGGCAGAATCGGTGAGCGAAAGACGGAAGCTCGGTGTTTTCTACCCCAGGTGTGCATGACATCTTCGTTCGAATCAATGCACAGTTGCCTCGCAATCAACACATCTTTCGAAAGAGTGGGAAGGCATCTGAATGCCTGTCCCCAGCCGTCGAATGCTCCCGAAAAAAGGGAGAGATGATCCCACGATGCTGAGGGGTCCCATTCTGGTCGATGGCACACAACACAATTGCGGTCCCCCACAAATGTAGCTTCCCCAGTCTGGTAAATACGTCCAAAGCAAACAACATGAATGCCACTCGTCAACATGAAGGAGCGTTTCGCTAATCCGTCAATGGTCAGCTGAACTTGCGTTGTCTGATCATGCTTCACAAATCCCTGTCCAGGAAGAAAGCAAAAGGGGATGCACATGAACGTGTCACCATGAAAAGTGGAGACCTCCCCCACAAGGATATCGACATCATCCAAACGAAGCACATTTCCCCCTGAGATCAAACCATGTCGAAGAGCCTTGAGCCTCTGGGCATAGGGCTCATGCAGGTCAGATCCCATTTCCACCATTGCGAAGCAAGGAGCCACAGTGAACCTAAGCCACCTCAAGTCCTGTTGACCAGGGTGGGAACAAGGTGTTGTTCCCTTGTTGGACGCCGAACCCCCTCTCGTGAGAGAGGACGCACGGCCCTGGGACCCCGCCGCTCCTGAGCTACTAAGCTCGGGCCAAGTAGCTTTCTTGCCACCTGTTCATAAATATTGAACATAAAATGTGTTATTTTGTAGCAACAATCACCACACGCGATCGGAACATCGCCTCCTTTCCCATTGCAACATCGCCCGCGCCTCAGTCTTCACCGTGAGGGAATCAGCCTGATCATAGTGCGCCGCAAAGTAGTCTTCCTCACATGGCCCCAACAGCAACAGCAACTTCAAGGAGTTGGGACCCTGAATGTTCTTGAAGGATCTTCAAGGGTTCAAGCCACCAAGAATTCAGACCCCAAAGCTCGTTCCCACCTGACCGATCTCACCCTCCGCCGCACGACGCGGCAGCGGAGGAGAAGGAACCAGGGGCCCCCGTGCCCCTGCAGTCTGGAGAGGAACCAGGCGAGGCTCAGGGGGCTCAGGGGGTCAGCGATCCGGGTGCGGTCAGCTAGGGTCGCCCGAAGAGATCTCTCTCGTCCGACTCGGTTCGACCAAGCGTCCGTGTCGTAGCGGGCGATGCGCCAGTTGGGATGGAGCCCTCGCACCGCCGTGTGAGGCGCAGTCTCTTCCACCATGTCCAGCAGGGCCGAGCATAGGCGAGAGCCGACGAGGGCGGACAGCTCCACGTTGGAGTAGCTGGCGGTGCGCTTGCTGGTGCGCAGGCCTGGTGAAAGCCCAGAAGTGGAGGCGAAAGAAGGGTGACTGGGCTAATGGATGTTGATCTGCCATGACGTCATGACGTCTATTAGAAAAAACATGAAAAAAAAACATCTTTGCCATTGAGAACCGCGGACTGTGGACCTTCAAACAGTCCAAACCTGCGCCGGGTGCAGGGGCCTTGGACCCTCCATCAGAGACCCATGCTGGCCCTGAGACCCTGCAGGGTAGTGGCACTCCTGGGGCCCTTTTGATTGTCCCACATTGCCAGCTATGGAATGGAATGGCATGGAATGAAAGGAGGTAAAGACTAAGACACAATAAAATGCACGGAGTTTCCCAAAAGATCTCAGAATGGCTATGTTTGGGTCGGCGCACCATGAAGTAGATATGCAAGGAGCACACATATCATATACACCAAAAGCAAGCGCACAAATATATACAAATATCATTCTGATACAAATAATATGATGTAGGAGGTTGTGATCAGGACGGAATGTGTCAGGAGAGCAAGCTTAGGTTCACGCAACGTTCATCCACACCCAAAGTCAAGAAAACTGCCAGGTCAGGGGCCCAGTCGATCTTATCCAGTCACTTTCTCAAAAGCCCAGTCGGGGCCGCTCACCTTTTTCAATAGATCTCTTTCTGTTGACCCAAGGGTCGCTCCCTGCGAGTCGCTCCCTGAGAGTCGCTCCACTCTTGTCGCACCCCGCGCCCCAGTTCGTCGCGCCACACGCAGGTGGCGCCTACCGCCCCGCTGGCGAGCAGCGCCGGGATGACGCCGAAGGCTTCCCCTGCAACAATCGTGGCGTCACATTCCTCTGCGCTCAGAAGGGGCACGACCCAGGCACGGCCTCGAGAGAGCGAACACATCACCAGTGAGTTGATGGAGCGAACATGAAGCAAGTTGGAGGCAAGGCAAGGATCCATTGAGTATAGGATAGTATTGGTTTAATTCATCAAATGATCAGGCTTGTTGGCAACTTTCTGCGGAGAAAGGAGTCAGGAGTTGGTCGTTTGGCATGCCTTTGGGTCTATATGGAGGCATTCATGAAACCTTTATAAATATAATCATATATGAAACCCAACTGCCCGCGCCAAAACCTCTCGCCTGGGATCACAACAGTGACACCGCCTTCTTCGATGCCGCCCCCTTCGCCGAACATGGTCACCGGCGTGGCCACATGGTTCCAATAGGTGGTAGCTAACTGTTCGGCTTCTTCCTTACCTCAGCGACTCGGCGACTGGGCACCAGTCTTGGAACGAGCCTTTCAAGGTGGTTCAGACTGTTAAAAGACCTTGGTGTGACTGTTAAAAGACCTTGTTTCAAGTCAGTCTGCATTCCCTGACCCCTGACGAGCACCGGTCACCGCAGGGACCTGCGCAGGTCAGCGCAGGTCGGAGAGGGCATCTGAGATAGCCAGTGACAGTGATAGACAATATTGTTTCTACGTTCGCAAGGCACTTGTTACTACTAGTATGGCACTTGTTACTAGAAGCGATGCACTTGTTACTAGTAGTGAACATTGTTTTGTCTAAGATATTCTAAGATTCCAACGGCTCCACCTTTCTTTCTTCGGTTCTATGGGTTCTGCGGTTCTGCTTCGACCCATTTCAACCTATGCCAGCAGGACGTGAGGCCAACCTCCTACTTCCATTTGACTTCTGCGTGCTTTATCACGACGTGGTCATCACCACTACTAAATTCACTCCCCTTGCCCTGCAGCTGCCCTGCAGCTGCTTGATCGATCTTGGCTGTCCCTTTTGAACTCTGACACATTTCACGCCCGCCGAGCTCCGTTTTTGGCCGAGCCACTCAGCCGTTTGGGCAGCGTTCGAGGCCGACGCTCGATGGATGCTGGCTGGGGTGGTGTGGGGCGAGCTGCAATGAGGCAAACGGCGGCCGGGGAGTTGAGGGGCATGGGCTTCCTGGGCTGGACGGTGGTTTCACCGGCGGAACGGAGCGTGGAAAACCGGGTTTGGAAGATCGGAAGTGCAAGTGATTTCTGGTTTGTCAAGGTGCTCAGAGTATCCGAAAAGGGAAGTTTTAAACAAAAATGTGTCTCTATAGACTGTGTCTCTATATAGAACACTGCAAGTGATGGTGTTAGAGTATCCAAAAACTGTGTCTCTATAGAACATTAGAAGAACCATCTCCTCTTCGTCCTTGGGGCTTTTGCCTTCTACTGAGTGAACATACCGACGCCTTCCATCCTGCGAGTAGATACCAAAACGATCATGGCAAAACCGGCCTTTCATGTTCCTCTTCCCTAGAGGTGTTTGAGGTGGGTTTGGAGGGTCCAAATACCTTCTGAGGAGGTACTTGGAGCCCTAGGGCTTCCATTTTTGGTACTCTTTCAACCAATTCTGCCTACTCCAGGATGACTATCGCTTCACCCATGCTGAACCCTTCAAGCTGGAGCTTCTCCAGATCCACCATCATGGCCATCCTTCTCTCTGAGATTTCAGCCATGACCCGCTCTCCTTCCGCGCGCTCGGCTTCCGAATATCCGCTCATGGCTGTACAGGCGTTATTGACGGGCGTGGCAGGTCCGCGATCTGTACAGGTGGCTCGAAGCCAAAATCGCTGCATGCATGGCTCGAGCATCCAGGGGCCTCCAACCTACAAGCGATGGCCTCCAACCCACTAGCAATGGCCTCCAACCCACTAGCGATGATCACCAGTTTGGAGTGAAAGCAGTTGGCGTTTGTCGGAGGGGTTCGCCATGTGACCATCCCTTCCCGACATAGCTCGACAGGAAACCTTGAGGTACTTCAATGTGGTAAATTCCAACGAGCCATCCTCTCAGTTGTGGTATGATCTCAAGTCAACCTGGATCTGCATTAGACTGAGGATGACTGAGGAACCACAATGCCCAAGCCCAAGGATGACACAGAACCATGTCGAGTGCTCAGCCCATGAACTGGACATGGAGGAGGCTTAGAATTCAGTGGATCGTCGCAAGAAAAGTGAAGAGTGGAGGCCCAAAGGATCTCTCTATCTCTCTCTCTCTCTCTTTCATGAGGCCATGTTTGAAAATAATATTGATCAAACACTTGGTCTTCACCAATGGACTGCAGAAAAATAACCTTTGCAGCCTTTCTCACCCCCCATGTCTCCACGTTCCGCAAGCCAAACGTTTGGCTTGCGGAAAGAAAGGACGACCAAAACGCCTGCTCCTTGCGCTCCTTTCTTTGCGCCTGGGCGGAGCAACCAGAAACTCCGTGGCTTGGCGCGCCGGGTCATGGCACCGGGGGACAGCCCACCGTCGTTCTGAAAACGCGACCGCCACAGCGGCACGGGTCCGAAGGGTACGGGTCCGTGCCGGGTCCGGAAAGGAGTGGTTTTTGGGGTGTTTGGGCTGTAAGACCTATGAAGAGATGGACATGCAGTTTGTATTGCAGAGAACCCGCCGTCCATGCAACCCGGGTGAACAAACCCAGCCATAGATGGAAACACTTGACGATGGGCTCAAACATAGGATAGATACCCCCACCATCTCCCACTTGACCTGTATAAGCTAAAATCTACCTGGAAAATGCATGGAGGGAATGCAAACAAAAAGGACTCCGAACACACCAGTTGCAGACCGTGCACGGTCCCCGCGCACCACCGCCCCAGCCGCGGTCGCGGTGGGGGCCAGTTCACCTCACCAGGTTCCGTCCCAGGCACAAGAGCAGCTTCGCGAAGCTCCAGTGGTTTTCGCTGCCAGCTCCTTCACCGGTGCCGTGTTTCGGTCGGGTGTTTCGCTCGGGTTGTCCCAGACGTGGGAGGCGAGGTGGAGCTTGCGGCCTCTGTGGAGCGTTGGTTGTTTGCGGCGTTGTTGTTGTTTGCTGCGTGGACCCCTGAGATGATCTGAGCCTAGCGACCCCTGCGAAGTCGTTAAGGACCACTGGTCGGTGTTCATGGCCACACCTGAAGTCAGCTTGACGCACAAGTCTCATTGGCCATAGTGAAATAAGAATTGACCTTATACTAGGACCCACAAAGGATAGAAGATGGACACCCCTTAAACTCTAAGTGGCAACAAATCAACACCCCTTGGGGGGCCCTAGTCTGGTCTTCGCACCATGATGCACCATGCTGCAAGACTGCAACTTCGTGAGGCAGTCGATGACATGAGAGTCGAGGGTAAAGACCTCCCATCCAGCATCACCCGGCAGATCGTCTGGTTGATGGTAGACAGGTGGTGAGGAGGGGGTTACTTTTTGGACCACCCCAAGCTGGGTGGTGCTGGATGTCATTAAGGCTTCACCACCTTTCCATCCTCCTCATGCATACCTCTCATGTGGACCTTCCCCGACCACGTCCTCGGCCGATCGTCGATCCAGTCCTCCAACCACGCTGAATGCAAATCACCTTGGCGATCCTCAGTTCAGGGTGACCAGGTCTTCACCCTGACCAGGTCAATGCTCTTGCAAGGCTATGGTCAGGTCATCACTGAACAACTGTGCCCCTGTCTGCTGGTTTGTACAAAACGCATTTCAAAAAACAAGTCAGGATGTCTTCGCCCTTGGTTCTGCAGTCTGAGTCTGGGATGTTTGAATCCAGCAGTATCTAGCATCCAGCGGTCCCCTAGACCAGAGCGGATACCGAAGAAATCGGAGACTGACCGATGAATTATCAAAAGTGCTGGCAGAGGAAAAGCAATGAGCGGAGGCTGTCCAGGAGGCTCCCTGGTCGATTTGCTTCCAAGCGTCAAGTGAAGCTTTCTTCGGCGGACGAGCCATCCTTGAATATGAGCCTGCATCATGCCACCAGTCACGAATCATGCTCTCTTGGTCCTACTATGCCCTACATGGAGTGTCTCTGTTGTGTCCACAAGTCATGGCGTCAACACCAAACTGTTTCCTGGCGTCAAAGCATTCAGGCCTCGCAAATAGGCTTCACTAGACTGACCCTGAGCCGCAAATAGGCTTCACTAGACTGACCCTGAGCCCCTAAAGCCTCCCATGTTTGACTCGGAAGCAACCGAAAGGGCTTCTAGAAGGGGCAAAGCGAAAGCCCCGCTTCACCCATGGGAACCCTGCCGCGCCGGTCTTTCACACCGCCGGAGGAAGATCGGGCACGATCCACCGTCCATGACGTCCATGTCGTCCCATGCCACACATGTGAAACACGCGTTGTGTTGTCTGTTTGTTTGTTTTCAGGTCAAACAGCATGAATTGCTTAAAGAGGAGGGAGAACTCCTCAGAGGTAGCAGAGGCTACCTTTCGTGACAACTGAATAATGATTCATGACACTTGATACGAAGTCGACTGCGGATGAAAATCACTGTTCAAAACGATAAGCTATGGGACAGTCTAGTCGAGCTTCAGATGGTGGTGACATGTCGGTTTCACCAGGTTCGGTGCCCTGGAACATCCTGGAACCAGGTCCTCCAGGTCGCAGGCACCATGAAACTCCCTCCACCGCCTGGATGGTGGTGGCTTTCTGCTCTTTGACCTGACACGGCGAGCGCCCGGAAGAGCGCCGAACAGCTGAGCAGCGCACGGGTGAGCATGGCTGAGCATGGCTGAGCGTCATCGTAAGTCCTTGGTGATCTTCCTGTTCTTCCAAAAGCATGGCTATGGGATGCTATGGGAACTGCCTGGAACTGAATGAGACCGCATGCACGAACCACCGCAAGGTCGCCCCAAGAAAGGGCTCCCCAAACCGCCCAAACTCCAGCCGACCCGTGCGTGACACGACCCCGTGCGTCTTGGAAAACGTGCGTCGCGGTTCACGGCGGAGAGTGCGCCTGCTGCCAAACACGCTTGCGCAGAGCGTGGCCGCGGACGACTCTTTGGATGTTCACCTGACGCGACGAGGACGCCCCTCATCCTGTGGAATCTTCGGACTTCTCATCCGGTGCGTCCAAAAAGAGAAAGTGCAACAGCCGGTGTTCCTTCAAAACACCAAGCTTCACATTTTGGACCAGAAAGCCAAGACCTAAGATATCCTGATTGTAACTTACCTATCAAACTCAGAGATCTTTCTTTTTCACTACGAGTTGGTCATAGTCATGGCGGTCACCTGGCCGCTCCAGCTCAGCTCCCACCGCTGAGTTCCTCTGAGTTCCAAACTACAGGGGGTGATGCTTGCTTCAGTTCGCGTTCGGTCGCCACTCAAAAGAGATCCGCTTGAAGCTCTCGAGCTAATCAGGGGTAAGAATTTCACAAGTAGCCAGCGTGTTGAGCCGGTGAGTTGATTCAAAACATCCAGTTGGGGAAGCATTCCTACCTCCAAAAAGATGTGAAAAACATCCACCAGTAGCCAGCATCCTGAGCCGTTGAGTTCAAACCACCACCACCATGCCAAACACCACGCACCGCACCAGACAATTGCCCAAGGCACGGCCGCATGGCGACAGCACCAGAAGCGCCGGGCGAACTTCTTTCGCACCAAGGCGCCCCGCAGCATGGCCTCTTCCAGCAGAGGCGAGCGATCCCACCGATTCCAACCACCTTCCGAGAAGGTCGGACCATGGTGGCCATCACCCGACTTCATCATCCCTCTGAAATAGTTCTCTCCCTCACCTTTCTAAGGGGATGTGGATGAGCATTTCCTTGGGTCTGAGACGATCAATCACTTTGGCCAGATCAAGAAATTTCCAAATCTCAAGCCGTGCTCTCACGTCTTTTCATCTATATAAACCCATGCAAATGCGACCCTCGACCCTCACATGGAGGGATCGGACCCGAATCCTCATATGGAGTGGTCTGGAGTCTCAATGATCCAATAGATGACTTCATGTCCAAAGTCCAATCTTGAACTACACTCCCTTGAACTAACAGAGGGCGGGAGCGGGTGGGAGACTCCGGTGACTTCCGGTGAGATCAACGTGGAGAAGCACACCTGTATCAACTAACAACTGATTTTGGTGATCCAAATCGTTTAAAGGGACAACTTGCGTTATAGATCGAAACATTTAGCAGAGAAGTGCCGAAAGCTTCCTATAGTCTACTACATGAATCCTTTCCATTCATGCTCAGGTTCCAGGAGTTTCAAAGGGCTGTTTTAAGCAAGGATCTTCCTCAATGAACCCGTCCGTTTGGAGCTGTGTATTTCCTGCCAGCCAGTTCTTCCACGGTTCTGAGTCCAGTGAGTGGATGTTCTGGGCTGCACATCCCCACACACCTCCAAGTTCGTAACATGCAACTCCTAGGTCCTCGGCGTGCGCGCGCGCCGCGCCCGCCCCCCAAACCGGGCTCGTCTTCTTCGGCCTGCACCCTCTGCGCGGCCCGGAAGCGCCGGCGCGCGCGCTCGAACCTCGGCCCGGATGAAGATCAACAGAACACCCATAACCAGCTGCTTCCTTCACCAAGAGACTACCCTGCCAGAGCCAGATAAATCATAATTTACAACTATATATATGTACTCAGCTGCTTCCTGTCAGGAAGCTCACACAAAAATCACCAAAAGACTACCCTGCACTAAGTGGACCTCCATTTTTGGACCTAGACAGGATGCCAGGACTGAACCAGATCTCACCAGATCCCTTGTGACCAAGTCCGTCGTCGAACACCGCACCCTCTTCGGCGTGCCCTACGCACCCTAGTAGGTTCGCAGGGTCTTCGGGTATCACGTGCCGAGTCACGTCACGTGCCCTGAGAATCAGGACCCGACATTCATGGGGAAGGGTGTTGAGATGTTCTCTTCTCATCTCTTCTCTCCTCTTCCTCTTCTCTCCTCAGTCTCTCTTCTTCTCTTCTTCTCTCCTCTCCCTTTCTTCTCTTCTCCTTCTCTGCTGCCCTCGGCCTCTTCTCTTCCTTTTTCTTCTGAAAAAGTGAGCAGAGAAGAAAAAACATGACCAAAAGAGAGAAGAAGAAGAAGAAGAAGGAAGAAGAAGGAAGAAGGAAGAAGGAAGAAGAAGAAGAAAAGAGAGGAAGAGAGGGAGAGAGGGAGAGAGAGAGAGAGAACAAAACAAATAAAGAAGAGGCGAAGACAGAAATGATTTGAAGAGGACAGAAGAGAGAAGAAAAAAGGGGATGGAGAGAAAAGAACGCATGACAAAGAGGAGGAGACAGGAGCAGAGAGGAGACATGAGAGAGGACACTTTCAAGCCGCCCGCAGCAACTGTTCCCCTTGACCAAGCAGGGCGGCCGGGCGCCTTCGAGCTCGGTTCTGGGCCTCCCCACTCCGCCCGCGCGATCTGCCGCCGGATCCGACCGACCTGTGCGGATGGATCGCCGCATCCACCAACGAGTCCACCGACGCGTCCAACGGGCCATGGGTGTCAAGAGTCAGACACAAGTGAAAGCTGTGCCGAGTTGGCTTCTTCTTCCCCTGTTGCTGCATTACATCTGCTTATACCAACTTGGGTGGGAAGATGACCTAGCTCCGTGCAGCAAGCGCAGCAAGCGGCCGAGGGTCATCTATCCCTAGTATATAGTAATATCCATTACATTAATACTAAATGTAATACTATATGACACTTTCACTGTGAAACAACTTGCAATCCGGTTGCGGGTCCAAACCCGACCCCGGCTTTTCCCAAACATGAACAAAACAAACGAACTCGTTCTTTTACGGAGCTTCAGGTGTCTGAACGGACGAATTCACCCTCGCGCCTTCGTGCGGGCCAACCAGCCGCGGATATGCCTCTGGATGAGGACCTCGGCAGAACATCCGGGGCGAGTCGTGGAGGGCGGGGCCATGCCCAGAGTCCCTTCAAGTTGAGAATCTGTCAATCTATTGTACATTGTAAGGGCAGGTTCTTGGAAGAACTGTTGACATTGGGCCAATTTGCTTGGCCTTTTGTGACTGTTTGTTAACCCCGACTGGTCCAATCCTGCAAGTGGATGTCTAGGATCCCGGTACACCACAAGCAGCTTGCGGTGGGTGAGAAAAGCATGCTGGCATGGCTCAGAACAAAATGAACATGGCAGCCTTGCTCATGGCCTGGGGTTTCATATGGGTTCATAAATATACAGTATTCATGCAAACGCTTTTTCACAGCAAGCAGCATGGCCGTTTGCTTTCAAAAGTGTCTGCACCATGGGTTGCTAGCAACAGTCCACCGGTGCTATACCGACTATACCAGACTTGGCAAAAACCGATCGGTGGCGCCCGATCTCTGCTCGGAAAGGCCCAGAGCTTCACTGAGCTTCACTCGGACCGATGATCCTGGTGCTTCCGCTACCCCGGCTTGGCCAAGAACGGCCATGCGCCATGCACTGCCTGAAAGTTTTATATACTTGCGTATTTCAGGAGCAATGTCTGGCCTTATTGGGTGCCCCAGTCTGGAGTTGCCTTGTTGCGACTTGGGTTGCTCTTGCCTTACGGGCCGGGCAAGAGCAAAAGAGAGCGCCCCAACGTCACGCCCACTCGATGGGACTGGACTAGTTAACTCGTCACAGACTCGCTGCTGGAACCCCCTAAGACAGATCCAAAGACCACAGCGATGTGGCCAAGATGCTGCAGCCATCTCCCGCTGCCAGACCTGAGATTTGGGAGCTCCGGGCCAGTGATCTCCAAGCGATCATCTATTTGTCACCTGTTGTTCTAGAGTTTTTAGTAACTTTAACATGTGATGTATGTTGACTTACAATATAAGGTGGAATCTTGTTGAATACAAACAAACAGGATCAACTTGACGATTCCAAACAAATCCAAAGATCCAATGTTTCGAACAGTGGTGAAACTCATGTTTTAATATGTTTTAATACAAGCTGTCGTTTCTCGGCACCAGTTGTCAGAAGGAAACACCAGTTAAAGGTTCAGGTCACAGTCTCAAGCAAATCTGCTTGGTGGTTTCAACTCACGAACGAGAAAAGTATGAGCCAGTGGATTTAATCATCCCCAGTACAGCTTGAACGTCAAAAACCACACATAAAACTGAAAACATCATAAAAACTGAACACATACCAACAAAACTGAACATGTTTTAAAACATTGATTTAAAAACATACCAACAAAACTGACAATTCATAAACAAATTCCATCCTCCCAAACTTCGACCACTCCGGTGTCTCACCGCCGTTTCGTCGGTTTTGCACCCCCCCCTTCGCCTCCTCGTACTTCGTCTCCCACTTCACTCGGCCTAGGTACCTGCCACGGCCAAATCGATCATTTCGCCCACGAAGACGTCGAATCGGCGGTGGTTTGGACCCGGAGGCTCGCGCGAACGTCGGAGGTTCGCGCAGTGGCGAAGTCCGTTCTGTGCGGTTTCCGTACGCTGCTAAGCATGTTAATTCATGTGTTCCCCCATTTTGACCCACAAACGTCGTTCGTCTCCTCCTGTCTTCTCCACTCGTTTCGTCTCACATACTCGTTGCAAGCCAGCAGCTCGTTCGTCATCCTTCGGTCGTCTCAGGTCACGGTCGTCGAGTCGTCGCGGGAACGTCGTGGTTTGGAGTCACGTCGCCCGGGGGGATGGAAACCGAATGGAAACCTGTTGTTCATGGGCAGCAGACTTGATAGAACTCTCAACGGTTTGTGGCGCTCGCGAGCTCTCCAACGTAGCGAAGTAAAGCTCAGCCGGCTGTGGCGCACCCGCGCCAGACCCGTTGAATCTCCAAGGCTGCCCAGAGTTCCTCTTCTGCCCGCACGGCCTTGGGGGTTGGGGGCGCTCAGACTGGTGGCTGCACCTCCAGGTACTCATCACGATTTCATCCATGCGTGGGTGGGATGTGGCATCCTCTCCGTCAGGGACATGTTCACGTGACATAACATATATATACACAAGTTGTAGCAGTTCAAAAAATGATTGTCCTACAATCATCTCCCTATGATCCCTGCAGACCAACGTACAGTATACCTGGACCCATCCTGTCTGGGTGTCCGGAGATCCCTAAGCAGTCCAAATAGGACACATCAGACGGATGGTCAAGGTATGTACCATCAGGTCGTGGCCTGGCGCCACATGCGCAGGCGGACGAGAAAGCCACGGGCATAGCGTTGAATGGTGACCACCTTCTGCACATGCCTGACGAGACCGATTCCACATCTGCAGTGAGCCCAGCCGGGTTCGTACCCGGTCCTTAACCCCAAACACACGTGCTGACAAAGCTGGTGGTGAATTCCACACATGGTGCTTATCCAACCGTTTCGGTTGGGTCATGATGCCTCCATAAGGACCAAACAAGAGTCCAGCTCCTGCCTTCCGAACTCTTCCATCAGCTCCAAGTACCTCACCAGCAATGCAAGTCTCACGAGGGATGAATACTTGGCATCTGTTCAAAAGCTATCTGAATGTCTCTGAATAACACTAATAGATTGTGAACAAACATTGCGTTCTTCTTGTGCAATCTGTTGACTAGCAAATGGCCCCGCCCGCAGTTGAAACCCTTCTACGGCAGGGCCTCTCGTTATTACTCAGCCGGCCGATTCCAGTTAGCTCAGGTATCGGACATTACAGCAAGGTTACAGTCATAGTGATTCTCAACAAGAAACACACACATTCCATCACTACTTTCCCAAAGGCCTCCTCAAGTAAATATAGCACTGACAAACATGACTGACACAGACCTGTAGAGCAGAGGTCTGCAGACCTCCCGCCCCATGGTCTTCGTTGTGGCCCCGTGGTTCCTAGGCCTCCCGGCTTCCGCCGGGTGCGTGCACCCAGCCACATCTTTCGGATGAAGGTCGCTGCCTCACGCGTTTCTCCTCTTCATCGACCGAACGTCGATCCAACGGGCCACCGGCTTCCGCGCGGCGCATCGACCGGAGCGGAACGGTTCCGGGCGTCGCCGCACCCGAACCGGTTCGGGTCCGACCCGAACCTTCCGAAGACTCCGAAGACCCGAACCGCGCCTTGTTCATCTTCTCGAACTTCGCTGCTCGGATCTGATCCACCTGCGAAGGACCGGTGTGTTGCGGTGTCTTGGCGCCGTTCAAGACGGAACGTCCACGGAGCCCCGGTCGATGCTTTGAGGGGAGTTCCGCCCAACGGTGGAAAGATGCCCTGGACCAATTGGCACCCTTGAACGAGTGTCCCAAGCAATTGGGGTCCATGTCATTGCCAAAAAGAAGGGGCCTAGTCTAGTGAATCCAGGATCAATCCATGGTAAGAAATGGATGGAAGGTCGACGAGTCGACAACACTTGCACACCCTGGCCACTTTTGTGGTCTCAGTCGCTGTGATTTCTCGGGCGCACGGGGCCAGGACGAAAACCGTTTGGATCGATTTGCAGCACATCCGTCATCGGGTGGCTCATGAAAGCTCCGGTTTGCGGGGGGTAAGTCGAATTTTGGACACAAAGCTGGCTCTTTTGAGTGGATCCATGAGTTCACCTTAGCAGGTCCGGGGGCACTCCGGGCACTCCCTCAGCTTGAGACCCGACAAGTGAACCAGTCGCCAACGTCACTGCGGACGCCAACGCTTACAACCCACTGACCCACTGGCCGTTGCGGGCATGGGGAAAGGCCTTCTTGATGGCAGCATCTCTTCGAGCCATGCTTTGCCTCGGAGCCGCTTGGCGGATGCGCTGAGCTCGCGGACGGACGAGCTCCGCTGCGGAGCCAGGGACCGTGGGACCACTGAGGCTTCAGGTGGGTCTTAGGGCATGGAGCTGTCAAGCCTTTAAGACTAAATCAGGTGATTGTGATAAAACTTAGCTAGTTTTGAGCAAGAGCTCTGTTTCTGGAGTCTAATAAACAGAAGGATGACTCAATGAATGTTTCCACTGGTGATTGGCCGGACATCTCACAGGGCCAAGGCCCTCCAGATTGCACCGCGACTCAATGGACGAGTCTGAATCGAGTCTGAACCCAGCTGTGCCTCCTCTGGCCACAAAAGGATCCATTGACATACCTATAGCACTTCCAATGGGTGCCCAATGGAGACCTATATAATATATGTAGGGTAGGTACGGTGGGGTTGTCCATTGGTGACCCGTTTTCCAGCAGCTGCGTACAGAATTTTCGAGATCGTAGTTCTCACGTGATGCAAAGTGAAACCGCTCACTTTAGGCACTCAACACTACCAACAGAGGTTGAATGACCCTATAGACTATCCCATAGGTACCCCAGTAGGGTCCTATAAGGTCACTTAACCTCTGTTGGTATCCAAACCAAAAAAATGTTAATTTCTGGACCCAACTCTGCCAGCCCACATGGGAAAAAGCTCCCACCGCTTGGCCGAATATGGGCAGCCCCACAGTTTCGTGGCCGCTTTGTATTGCTCCATCTGTTGATTGTACCTTGGACCCAGCGTGCTCCGCGTGGAGGGGCAGACCGAACGCTGAGGCGACACCGCTGAGGCGACACCGCTGAGGCGACACGTTTTCACCGCCCGCGCTTTCGACGTGGATCCATGGGCCGCTTTCGACGGGGTGCGTGGGGCCCGCGTGGGACGGAAGAAACCAGATTTTGTTACCGATCCCGATCACAGCGAGCTGTGGCACCAAGGTCGGTCGACCTTGGCCACACCCGCCGCGCCCGTTTCGCGGCGAATCTGCAGATTCATGGCGCCCAGTAAGGTCGGTATACCCTACAGCCATCAGCCAAGAAAAAACGACATGTCAAGCGTTCCTGGGGTTCCCAAAGGCGTGCAGACCCTGCACGATGATTGTGGGTGTGTGGTTGGAAGGCCCAAGACCAGCCTCAACAGGTGTGAGGATGACTGCTGCATTGCTTTTGCTTCGCCTGTTACAACCCAAGGTGCTTTCAAAGCTATGCCGCTATGCCCAAGCTACGCACGCCTCTGACGGGAAAACAGGCTCGCCCCCAACGGTCTGCCTCGTCCGCTGTTCTTCGTCCCGGCGCCCTGTCCCAACTTCCCGACTGCCCTGCCCCGTCACTTTGGAGTCGCCCTGGGCTTCCCAACAGATCAAGCTTGCGGGTGGCTTCTTCTCGACCTCACAGGCTTCTTCTTCGGCCGTTCATGGGCGAAAAAAGCACGGAGCCGCCCCAAGAAAAGGGAGAATCCAAACACAGTGGGACACAGAAAAACGTGAGTCTGTCTTTGGGTGTGCTTCATGTTTTTCATTGTTTGAGACTTTCTCATGGAGCCGGGAGACTATCATCATCTGTGAGCCGATGCTTCACCAAGTTATTATACCTTTGTCTAAAAAGAGGGTCCCAACTAACAAGACTCCGGGTCTGGGAGTCTTAATCGTTATCTTGCTATGTTTCAACACAAAAGAATGACCAGAACATCCAAAACCATATAGACATCTCATGACTCGGGCCATGAACGCCGAGAGATCTTCCCTATGTGGCGATAGAGTTTCACAGAGTGAACGGGCAGTCAGGGGATAGATCACAGGCGAAACCACACCACAAAGATCTTCAAACATGGTGAAAGACTCAGTGGTGCACACTTTCAAGTGGTTGTTTCGCACCTCTATCTCAAGAACTTCCTTCCAACTGGGAAACGCCATCAAGTCTATATCTAAAGCAAAAAAAACAAACAATATCAAAAAATGCCTTCTGAATCGTCGGATGCTTTCGGACGTCTCCCCCCATCGACGACCTCGACGACCACTCTCCCGCCTTGCCCGCCACGGAAGACTCGTTGGATGTGAACCGCGGACTCTTCGCGTGCCTCGGTGAGTCTCCCGGTCGAAAAAATGGAAGCGCGCAGTTCTGCTCGTCATTGCACCGGTCTGGGGGTATTGCGGGTATTGCGGGTGCATGTCTGTGTGTGTGTGTGTGGAATGAATGAAGGTGACTGGGTTAAGCCACCGAAAGCTGGACTTCCACAGTTAAGTCACCTTGAACATCTTGATTGGAGGGAAGAAACACCCTTCCCCTCTGTCACGAACTGGGGAAAAAACGGGAAAAGTATGGAAAAGTGGGATGTTCCCCCCATCTTGGCATCTCTTGGCGGTTCCTTTGGTCGGGACCCACACCATCGGTACCCTCCCTCTCCGCCTGCTCGGCGGCCTTCACGTCGCGCCGGCCCTGGAGCGGGAAGGGCGGTCCGTGGGGAAGGGTGGTCCTCCCGGCGCCCCAAGCTTTTCAGGGAGAAAACGAGAAAACTGAAGGAACTCTGTGTCTTTGGAGTGGGGAGGACTTGTATGTCGCAAGTCACCCCTGGAACTAACATGGAATGGTAATCATGGAAGTGAAAATGGCATGGCCCCAAGTTTGGAAGACCATGCTCCTCTACAACCAGGGGGTGCCATGCACCTCCATGTGAGTTCCATTGGAGGGTCTTTGATATGGTTGGATTCCCACTGGCACTGGTGAGCAATCGACATGCTGCTGCTCGCTCCATGTTGCTCCAAAGCAGCTCCAAACCATCCGTCTTTCTTGAAATATCATAAAAAGACAATACAAGACAGGAGGATGATAGTGGAGGGTGAAATGGCCCAACAACACGTGTAACTCGACTCTACCTACATGCAGTATCTTAGAATCTTCTCTACGCTCCCATTCTATGCACAGGAACCCAAGTAAACCTGCTTCGAGAAGCCACTTCTAACGACATCAGCCCCAAGCTGCCATGAAACAAATCGAATCCTGAGACATGGCGAGCCTGCACCTTCTTGTTCGCCTGGTGACTTCCTGCGAGCTAGGGAGAAAAGCTTGTCTTTAGCAAACAGATTTTCTTCTTACACTTTAAGAAACTCTTTTTCCCTGTGCCTGTGGGGCTTCAGATATTTGCAGATGGGTTTTTACGCAGGCACACCTGCTGGAAGAATTGACTCTTCTGACTCTTTGAATGTGCTTGAAATTGCCAAGCATTTGTGATCATTTGTGTCTGCTTGCAGCTGCTCTACCAATCATTTCGGTCACGAGATGTATAAAGCAGGTGGTGGATACAATACTCATACTAACCGAGTCAGGTTAAAGGATGTTAGTCAAAGGTTTTGAGTCGGTTCTTTCAGCTCGAACCAAATGTCGTTGAGATAATCCCTTATAAACTAAACCTAACCTGGCCATACCTGGCCAGCATTTGACTGATCCTTGACACAGTGTTCCTCTTGTCTTTATGTAGGCACCTGCACATGCATGTTGCGTTTGCACGTGACGTTCTTGGCATGTGCTCAATGTCGGGTCGTCCGTCGGGTCGGGGCGTCCAGGGGCCCAGACGGATGGCACACTGAAGAGTGATGGCCTGGCAGGGCGATGCTGGACGAACCGAACTGAGCGATCCACGTGACGGTGGAAAACCGCAAGGACGGGCGTTCGAACTTGACCTTCCAGTTGACGTCGTGGGGCGAAATCGGCAACAACGTCGGGAGGTATTTGACATTGCTTGACTGGTTTGACAGCCTAAGGATTTTACTGAGAGTATCACATAACATGATATAGTATAACTAATATAACAAGTAATGTCCCTTCTTTTACTAATGGAAAGGGCATCAGAACAGATCGTCGAATCATTTGCCGAGGTCCTTGGAGGGCCTCTCCACCGAGGGTATCGCCTCCAAATTGCAAATACCGCTAGTCTAAAGTCCTTCGAGCTATGAAATGACATGAAATGACTACCCCGCACCCACTCCATGTGCAAAACAAAGGGTCAACTTCCGATCCACTCCTAGTTACTAGTAGCTTCTTGTTCCTAGCAGCGATGGCCTCCAACCTAAGAGCGATGGCCTCCACCGAACATAGCGTCCTTGTTACTAGTAGTTTCTTGTTCCTTCAAAGATTGCCCCAAGCCGTTCATGTGCGTCTCAGTGATCTAGTGATCTCCAACCGGCCGGTGCTGCCAGCTGATGCATCACGACCCTCCTCTTCGCCACTTGCCGTCGGGCCTCGGGTCGTGAGCCGATGCTCCCGGCAGGAGACCGACTGGAAGAGATCTCTGACACCAGGTCAACCAGCCCGTAGGTCGCCAGGGTTGGGTCTTGCAAAGGTCCGTCCAGAGATTCTGAGGTGCGGAAGAACGACATCTGGATCAGTTTGTAAGGAGAGGTAGCCCAGAAATACTACGTGATCAGGCTTCGTTGGGGCCCCTTGGTCTCTGCAGGAGGTTCTTTCATCCACAGTCAAGTATAGGTTCGCGATCTAAATCATGTTTTGATATATTTTGTCTGGAGCAATGTAGCAATGTCAAGTTATCTCTATAGATTCATCCTGAAGGGTTTATCTCAGTTGAACGAATGTGTTCATTCGTAAAGAGTGTTCCTTGAAGAAACATTACAGTATATACTGGGCTGTTACCTGCACCATCATGCTCCCTTGAATAAGTTCAGGCACCCCTATTGTTCTTTGCTCGCGTGAGACAAAAGCCCTTTCAGCGGGGGACTATGGACGGTTCCGCGACGTCCGCGCACGCGTCGCTTCAACGCACCCAAAAAGGGGTCGATGCTTCCGACCGACCTATCGTGCCCATGCTGCCCAAACAAAATAACATATAAAAGGCGCAAGTTAATTACGATATACCACCACCACCCAATCTTGGGTGGTTTTTGTTGGATGGAACATACATCTTCAGGGGGGTCTATAAGCCACCCTTTGGGTGGTGCTGGTATATAATATATATATATATATATTGAAACATGTGTCAAATTAACGTCCTCTCCAACCAGTTCCAAAGAGATGGGCACCGTGTTGACCCCCAGAGAAAAGGAACGAGCTGAGGATCCGCGCGAGCGCACCGCGGATCAGGGCTTGGCACTTCACAGCTGCCGCGTTCTTGTGCCGAAGCCGGTTGCCTGCAGTGCTCGGATGTCCAACATCCGAGCCCAGCTGTGTGTTGTCTTCAAGTGGCCGGCCCAAGCAGTTGCTGGTGTTACTCAAACATGGTTGGGTTCGGGTTTGCTACGCAAATCAGGCACACCACATACATGACCATATTCAAATCATATCAGTCACAGTATCACAGTATCCTTCCTTTTTAACCTCCCCAGGTCTTTTCCAAATCCCTTTGCACCACCGGGTCTGCCCACGACGCTTTCACCCTCGCTCCATCGGGGTTTCTGGGCTGCCCCAGCGGGCGAGGACCCCGCGAGCGTGGCGCTGGATGATGATCTCAGCGAGGGAGGTTTGGTCCGTCGAGATTTCGGCACGGAAGGCCAAGAACGTGAGGATTTGGGGCCTTTTCGGGGCTGGGAACTTGTGTGTGTGGTTTATGATGTTCGGATCTATTTGGTAACTTCGGAAGAAGTCACATAGGAAGGAAGAGAGAGAGAGAGAGAGAGACAGACAGACAGACAGAAAGAAAGAGAGAAAGAGATGTAGAGAGGGAGAGAGGGAGAGAGACACATAGAGACACCAATTTAATTTGAAAACACCCACACAAGCTAGATTCTAGAATTGATTTCCGGGAGCCCCAAAGACATTAAAATAGAATGTATATCCAACTGAGGGGGTTGACATGTTTTTTCAGTGCTTGGAGTTGATCAGTTCCCCAGTTGATCCAGTCTTCCGGACCTCCAACGACCCGTGGTCACCGAGAAGAGGTCACAGCCCCGTGGCAAGCATCGATGGCCCCTTTTGGTCTCACAAGGGGATGTCATGTCATGTATTTTCGTACAGATCTCTCAGAGCGGAGTGCACAGGAGTGCAGGAGCTCATCAGTTCACCCCTGAAAACCGGAGAAGTGCATGAACAGCATATGCTCTGGATAGGTGTCCCTACATTTGTGCATCTTCTGCGTTTGAGACAAACCCTGCAGCTCTTTAGGTCGTTGAATTGATTCCTATAGAGATATGCACTATGCAATTAATAGATCATCTATTAACGTATAGACGTCTACGAAGTGGAGACATCGCCGACTCCGGACTCCTGAGCCGTTGCCGTTCGCCTTATTTTCCACACTGTTAGGAGTTGAGCAGAAAAGGTAAAACCATGAAAAAGAATAAAAATGACATATCATAAAAATAACAAAATACATTTAATTAAAAGAAACATTGCTTTGCAGTATGTTGCAGTTAATCCACTGTTAATCCACATGAATCCACAGGGTCGGCTTCTGACAAATCCGACCGTGGACACCCCGTACCGGTCGCTTTCTCACCACGACTGGGCGCCCCGAACCACGCAGCGGCGCTTCTGCAAGGTGCGCCGCACCAGGAAGGCTCGCACGATCCTGGCAGGGTCGGGTGGAGACCGGCCAGGTAGGTCCGTTGAAGAAGCCGGGCAAACACCCAGTTGGGTACCCCAGGTGACGGGTCCTAAGGTTCAGGTCTCGAAAAAACCCTCTTAGGTGGAGAAGGTCCGAGTGATCGAGCTATTCAATCTAAAGTGAAGGCTCATGCGATCCAAATCGAGATCCCATTGAAGGATCTCTCCCAATCGAGAGTATAGACCTCCCAAATGGTGATGGTTGTTGTGTTGTATGTTTTATGTCGCCTTTATTTCTTTTGATACTATAGAGTGACATAGAGTGACGATGGATCGAAATGGATCAAACAAATATCAGCTCCCCGTGTCTATCAGACGTAGGACCACCAGAGTCGATCACTGCCCCACGAGTGTTTTGTCGCGACGCGCCCCAAGACCACCAAGGGAAACGCCGAGGTGACCGAGGTCTGTGTGTTCTTCCTTTGTTGGGGCGTCCAAGTTCACCCTGTTCCTCAACCAAGGAAAGCCGAACCGAAAACCCAAGAGACGCCGGCCCAACCAACCGGTGAATTCTACCAAGAAAACCTTCGTTCGCCGGTTGTTCTAGATCCCTTCTTGGGAGTGGCACCCACATTTTGTGAGAATCTGATAGTAGATCCACTACTATAAGTCCCTGCAGCATTGGATTCTGCATTGGTTCTGGTGAACTTACAAGTAGCGTATAGAGATGCATACAGTATCATACAGTATTCCATAGTATTCCAATGTATTCCATGTAAATCATTTGGTAGGTGCAAACAAAGATCCTACATGATCCTACCATAACCAGGTGGGTCCAATGTGCTAGAACCTTTCCCTTTCGACGTATAGGCCAGCTGCCGTCCCCCCAGCGGGCTGATTGGAATTCGAGGATGATGATGACATACATACAAATAAACCATAAAGATCAGTGACGTTTGCGGGTTTGAAAACGGTGTCAGAGTTTCTGGGATGGCAAGTCTTGAAGCATGGATCATACCCAAAGGATCCTCAAAGGCATGTCACGTCACCTGCGAAAACAGGTCGACCGTCCTACATGTTCTGGTCTTTAGATGTCTTTAGGACCTCTTCAAAAGACCAACAAGGAAAAGAAAGCTGTGGAATGTCTCGGTGTTTAAAGAAAAAAAACGACCCATGATGGCCCATGCTGGTCACCAGCTGCCCATGCTGGTCGGCAGCTGCCCATGCTGGTCGGCAGCTGCCTATTCAAACCGATGCGTCGGCGCCTTTGCATGTTGGTGGAGGCTCGGTCGAGCTTTTGCCGCTTCAGGTGGTAGGCCCGCCATCTCGCCTATCCATCCATGAGCGGATCTGTCTGACCAAGGCACCAAAAGCCATCCGGGAAAAAGAACACCTAATATATACCAGGACCCGACTCTACAGGTCACCAGTTGAGACCTGTTAGGGTCCAACAACCCTCAACTAACAGCCTGTTGGAGGGCGCTGGTTTATATATATATATATATTATAAAGAGAGCCTACTAGCTTTAGTCACTGCATCATAGTTGGACCCTGGACCCTGCCATAAAAGTACAAAACATCCAAAAGCTCTGGAAAAGTCATGTTTCCGCAAGCCTTCGCGATCATTATGGTCTCATATGTAGGCCAAAAAAAAATCACTGTAATGAGTCATGGCCTAACTGATTCTCCACACCCATCCACTTTGCCCCAAAACCGTCCTTTTCCAAACCACCAACCGGATCGAGTGACGGTGTCACACTCCACTGACCTAGGTCTCCCAGGTGCGAGGCTTGTCCCGCTTCGGCGCACGGTATGGCGTTCCACTCCTGAATCATGGTGGCCGCGATCCAGGTGGTCTGCAACCACTCAGAGTTCTCTTGACCTCGGACGATGTGATCTGGACCGACCAAAACAACGCCAAGAACGCCAAGAACTCGCACAGAAAAGCAGACTTCAGGAACCCAATGGACCCTGCAGGTGGGGCATCTCTTGGATCGGGTCATTCATGGCTCTTTGGCAGAAATCCTCCGCCATATTAGCACGACACGACCAAACTGACTCATTCTGGTTCTGAGATGTTCTGAGACTACAATGTCATGCCTCCATGCAAGATCATCCGACTTCTAGCACCCGCGTTGGCTTTGGAGATCTGAGCGGTGCGAGCCAGCACTGCACAGCATGTCCGGGGCTCCGTGTCTGACGTCCGCCTCACGTCGGTTCGGGACTGGGAGGCGCCACCCCCCAGGTGTTTGAAGGCAAAAGAAAGCCTGGCAAGAGTGAGAGAGAGAGAGCTCAACCTCGGATGTGGTTGTGTGTTCTTTCTTCTGGCTGCGTCTCCGAGGCTTCCGGCAGTATTTGTACCAAGCGCGCCAGGTCCTGGAGGGGGCGCAGGGAGCGATGACATTCCTCCATATACGGCTTTTGGGCTAGGTCAGTTTAGAGGAACGTACTACGACCCGATGTGGTAACTTACCACATCGCACAGGAACTTGACCCCATGGCACACCGCTTACTCCAGTACATGTAAAAACTTCAACAAGTCTTGGACTCTTTTGGAGGGAAATGACTTCCTTCTTTCTGGACTGTCGACTGTCACCACATGTCCCCGGCAACTCGCAGCAACTCGCTGCAAGTCGTCTGCTCAAAGCTTGGCAGTCTGAAGACGGTGACGAATAGAATAGAACCGAACATCTGACCAATTGTGTTTTTCCCTCCACCATGTTCATAATATTGGCAGTGGGTTCATGTGGATATAGGCATCTTAATTCCATGAGTTCGCATTGACATCATGCGAGCTGCACTCCAGAAAGGACATCAGAATTCACCAGGCGGTTGACAGTTCTTCACCAAATGTCCTCGGACCCAAGTCGTACCATTTTCTCTTTCTCCAAGGGAGGGGGACGGCCCGGAAGCCGGATCCCCAACAGGAAGCACCGGTTGGGATCGGTGCTTCCCGGCGGCTGGAACCGCGAGCCGAACCAGGTGAAGCAGTGATTCCGTTCGCTGGGCTGCGAACCGTCCAATACTGAGTGGATCAAATGAACCCATGCAATCCGTGGTCGCCGCGTCCCACCTTTGGATCCGCTCCGCAGCCACCCGCCGCAGCCACTCATTCTTCCTCGGAGCCACTCGTGTCAACATTGCTCCCCCCGCTTCCATCCCCTCATAAAAGTGTACCTTCTCAAGTTCGGTACGACTGGACCCGACAAGTTCGGCACCGGTCTTAGTTACTAGCCACAGTGTCGAACATATCACCGCACAAGAGAGATCCCTATCCAGATCCAGCGTCAACAGCTCCGGGACTCATGTCATTCACTGGATTGGCCGTGAATGGACTGGGCACAGCTTGGCTCATCTTGGCTCGGTCTTTTTCTTTCCCAAACACAAACAGCTCGGGACTGGCATCTTGACTGCCTACGACCTGAAAACACCCCAACTGATCGGTCAATCTGCCAATCCCAAGCAGGTCGTGTCTGGATATGCTGAAAACCCACCCACTCTGCAACGAGGCTCTGTTGCTCTACGGCGCTGAACTGCCGGCCCTGCATCACCTCGGCTTCGGGAGGAGACGACGTGCTGGGAGTCCCAGTGGTGAAAAAGGCTACGACGTGCTGGGAGTGCCAAACCATCCCAAACACCATGGTACGCCATATTTGCCTACTGTAGGCATATCTTCCATGACATGGAGTGTCTGGGCATGTATATGGTTGAATGAAAGTGCATCCTCAAATTGGGCCGTGTCGAATCAGAACATGGTCACCGAACTCACGGAAGCGCATGAAAAACCAAGCACCCACCCACTTGTAGTGATTATATGTGATTATTATAGAGTAGATGACCTGTGTCCCCAAGAGGTGGCCCTGAAACGTGTTCTTTCGGAATGGACGACTGGCCCACCGCCCGACTCGACACACTCGGACCGAAGAGAAGGAAGGGAAGAGACCGCTTCCCTTTCCGGATCCGCACCCGTTTGGAGAAGGGGCCCCAGGGCCCCTTGTGAACTAGAGGGTTCGAGGATCCTTAGGCTTGAAAAGATCAACGCCCCACGCCCCCTCCGCGGCGCCTGATCCCGGTTCTTGGTGGTGTTCCAGGCACCTCAGGGAGCGTGTTTCCGGATGGGACCATCCACGCGGGTGCCTGAAGGAGAGACTTTTCATGTCAGACCAACTTCTTCTCACAATAAAAGACTCGCACATCAACCCAAAACTAGACGACGAGTGGCCCGAAAGCATTTTTCATCACGTAGGAAATCAGAGTGCGAGTTATCCGGTAAGTGTGTAGTGAGAAGTGTTAAGTCGAGTGAGTTGAGGTAGTGTGTGGGTTTCTGTGCGTGTGTCCATGTCCGTGTGGAAAGGAGTCTGCGTATGTGTGCGTTCGTGGAAGTTGAGGGAGTGTGTGGGTGTTTGTGTGCGATGCGGCCTCCCAAACCCCCCACCGGCGGCCAAGCGGTGACAGCCCAGCTC